GAGCCATGTCCATTCTTTCACTACCACATCTTCCAACTCTTCCAACTTCTCTTTTGAATTGTCAGTGCTCCTGTTACAGTGCAGACCCTTATTTTACCTTCATTCAGCCCTCAACAATTCCAAGAGCTTCTTGAGCTTTTCAATTTGTAATCTATTCTTCCCTTTCTTAACAAGTTTTATGTATCAATTTCTTCCCTTTCTTAACATGTTTTAAAAAAGTAAATCTGCTGGACATCTAGGATTTTTACTTTATGCTTGATATTTAAACATAGGCTTGAAGTTAGAATCCCCAAAGACATACAAACTACAGTATAAACTGAATGTTAAGTATAAACTCTCAGTAGAGAAATGTATCTAGTAAATCATAATCAAATAAACAGATTGCTACTATGAAAAGTCTATCCAATTCACAATATGTACACAGCTGCCAGGTTTTATCTGCATAGATAATGACACTTTGGATTTTCCTTCCTTTTTATTTTCCACATGCATATTTTTGGCATAGTTTAAAATCACGACTAAAAAGTAATTCTGAAATTTTATTCAATTTTCATATTGTTGAATGTGATTTCTTATTATTCATTACTATAAATAAAGTTGCAATGAAGCTTTACTCATTCTAATTTACTTCTTTAGGAGATGTTCCCAGAAATGGTATTGGTGGGCTTAGAGATACAAACATTGTAATGAAGACTGAAACATCTTCCAAAACCTTTGCAGAACAGTTGTTGCTAATTTACAAAGCCATAAAAGCACACATGAAATCACCATACCTTCATCAGCACTGTATGTCACAGCAACAAGTGGTAACAGTTGGGAATTAATAAACAGTAATTTTTGGGCCATTTTTATTTGAATTTCATGATTACTACCAACAATGAACATTCTTTTCAATTTTTAAAATACCAGTTGGGTTTCTTTTTTGAATTGTTTATTTTGGCACCATTCCATGTACAATCACTTATTAAACATTCTTCTATCAGTTGCTTGGATTTTACCTCACCTTTTCTCTTAAGAATGAGGAATATAATAATTCTCTCACATAAGACTGAGGGAAGAGTGGTCTCAGGTGCAGCCACCTCAGTGGCTCAACACTGCGAAACACAAGTCTTCCCAGA